AGACTCCTGAGCCGAACTGGAACACATGATACACAAGATAGAATGAGTTTGCACTCACACACAGGGTTTATTTATCTATTCCTAGTGGGTCCTAGGCTTTGGCAAAGGGCCCCCGGCGATGCACACAGAAAGAGATGACGAAAACGGAGACAGACAGGCGGCCGCAGCTGGTTCAGGCTCACACAGCAAAGCAGTCAGGCAGGAGCTCGTGGAGTCCTCCTCTGTCAGGCAGGAGACATCGGAGACGTCGACTGAAAGGTCTGACGCTTATATAGCCAGTAGTAAACAACTGGTGTCCTCAGTGTGGGCCAGACGGTGTGCCTTATGCTAGGAGCAGGGCGTTTACGCTTTAAGGGCTCAGGGCTTTTACATCAAGATAGTGGGGTGTTCATCAATTTGGAAGTTACAGAGAATTGGGGTTTCTACACAGCTAACATTTCACACGATAATTATTTTATCCATTAGAGGGGTTTCCTTATGACCAAAACATTATAACACTGGGAATTGGGCCTAAACCAGCAGTCAGACATCGCTATCACAATCCTGGACTGCTGGCTCCTAATCGCTCACCTGCCTGCCTGTTTGCCCCTAACTGTCCCTCTGCTAGCCTGATCGCCTCTCACTGCCTCTGTGTGCCAGCCTGATCACCCCTAACTACTCCTTCCCTGCTGGCCTGGTCACCCCCAACTGCCCCTCTCTGCTGGCCTGATTGTCTCCAACTGCCCCCCACCCTGCTGGCTTAGTCACCCTCACTGCCTCCCCTGCAAGCCTCATCACCCCCAAGTACCCCTCCCTCCTGGCCTGGTGGCTCCTAACTGCCCCCTTCGGCCGGTCTGGTCACCCCTAACTGTTCCCCCTGCCAGCCTGGTCACTGCCAACTTCCCCCCATGCTGACCTGGTCACTCCCAACACCCCCCCTCCCTTGCTGGCCTGGTCACTCCACACAGCCTGCTTGTTCAGTCGTTTGGTTGTCCCTCACTAACCCCCCTGCCGGGCTGGTAGCCCCATGCAGCCTGCTGTTCAGTTGTTTGGTCATCTCTCACTAACCTCCCTGCTGGCCTAGTTGTAGGCAGCCATCTTGTGAGGGTGTGATGGCCAAATTGCATATTACCTATTTATTACAGAGGATTTTTGGAGGGGAGAAAGAGGTAGAAACATCAATGAGAGAAAACCATCGGTTGGCTGCCTCCTACACGCCCCACGCTGGGGATGGAGCCCTGACCAGGAATCAACCCATGGCTTCCTGGTTCATAGGTGGATGCTCAACCACTGAACCACGCCAGCCGGGCCTGGATTTCCATCTTGACTTTGCCACCAGCTTGCGAGGCAACTGTGGGCAAGTCACTTCGCCTCTCTGGTCAGTGGTTAGTGCCACCTGCATCCCTCCCTCTTTCTCAGGTCACGGCGGAGCCAAGGGAGATCAGAGCCCCCGTCCGCTCAGCGATGTCATTCATGATGATGTGTGCACAGTGAATCCTGTCCTCCCCAGACGCTCAGGGCGTGGGACATTCTGCTTCATGGAATGTTCTGGGACATGGAAACGTTCCCAGACATTCCTTTTGTTCCTTTTGTGGCTATTGAACCCCATTAACTCATCTATTTAGCAAATATTTGTCTCCTGCCTATGCTCGACTAGGCTCTGTTCCCAGTGTTGGGGATTCCAGTGAGAACGACAGCCGAGTCCCAGCTCCCGGGATGCATAGGCTGGGGGAAGACACGGGGCCAATACGCAGCACAGCACGACAGGATGGGCACACGGAGGCGGGGAGAAGAGGACACGTGGGGGCCCCAGGGTCGAATCAGGGGGCACTAGAGAAGAGATCCTTGAGAAGGTGTCATTTACACTGAGAGCATCAAGAAGCAGTTAGCCACAGTGCCAGGGGGATGGCGGCAGAGGGGACAGTATGGGCAAAGGCCCAGCCACACCCCTCACACATTCATCTGTGCTATGGAGCATACAACGTAAAGCTGGGGAGGCGAGAGAGAAGGGGTGCGTGTGTGTGTCAGGAGAGGGCGATGGCGAGGAGATCAAGGATGTAGGGAGAGCATGGCCCGTGTGGCTTAGTGGTTGAGTGTCAACGTATGAACCAGGAGGTCATGGTTTGATTCCTGGCCAGGGCACATGCCATGCTGGGGTTGCAGGATTGATCCCCAGTGGGGGGCGTGCAGGAGGCAGCGGATAGATGATTCTCTCTCATCATTGATGTTTCTATCTCTCCCTCTCCTTTCCTCTCTGGGGAAAAATAAAAAAAGATTAAAGAAAAGAAAAGAATGTGGGAGAATTTGGCCTGGCCTGAGGCAGGGGCCACCCTGGTACGTTAGGGCTGCAGGCTTATTTATTCTCAAGTATGGGTTTCTTTCTCCTACAAGTACAATGGAGGGTGGAAAGTGAAGTAAGAACATGAATTCACACGCAGAGGAGAGGCCTCCAAGTCAGATGGGTTATATGGGCCGGGAGGGATACAGGCAAGAGGAGGGCATAGCCCTGGAAGGGAGCCAGGCTCCCTGGGGCCTGCAGAGGGTGGCCACGGGGGAACGGGGCCTGGCATCACCAGATCCTCAGCTTTGTGAAGAGAAGCCAGCATTCTAGCTTTCTAAGGGAACTCTCCCAATTGTTAAATGCTGGTAACTAACAACAACAACAACAACAACAACAACACTACGGGAGGAGCAATATGCTTCTGCGGCTCCATTGTTCTATGAGCTGGTGGGTTGCAACCCTGGATCCCCAGGATTCTACTGCTAAGGGTTTGAGGGTGTCCACTGGAATCTATTTTGATCCTCTTGTGATCCCAACCTGGGCTGGGCTCTGGGGCACGATGGTGGCCTGGGGGTTGGCCCCTGCCCTCAAGCTTGGGTCATAGCTGCCCTCCAACTGGGGAGATTTCAAATCAGTACGTGCCCCGAGCCAACTTAACAAAAGTAAAGCAACCAACCAGAGCTCAGAGCGCGGTGGAGCTCAGAGCAGAGGGGGTCAGGGAGCTGCCATGGGAGACCTCCCAGGCATGCTGGGGCTTCTGATGTTTCTGGGAGGGGGGGTGAGCCTGCCCTAGTGCTGTGGTCGGCAAACTTCGGCTCGCGAGCCACATGCGGCTCTTTGGGCCCTTGAGTGTGGCTCTTCCACAAAATGCCACTGCCTGGGCGAGTCTATTTTGAAGAAGCGGCGTTAGAAGTTTAAGTTTAAAAAACTTGGCTCTCAAAAGAAATTTCAATCGTTGTCCTGTTGATATTTGGCTCTGTGGACGAATGAGTTTGCCGACCACTGGCCTAGTGCAACCAAAGAGGGGCAGGCATTCAGCCTGGAGGGCTCAGGACCCAGGAGGAAAGCTAGAAGGCCAGGGAGGGGGGTTGGAGCGGCGAATGCAGGTTCAGATGATCTAACTTCCGGTCCCAGGCTTAATGCTAGGAGCCCCGGTTCACCTGGCGGACATCTGGAGATGCTCTTGCTGCTTTGCTAGCATTCCAGAAACTTCCCTCTCTGCGGTCACGGCCACCGTTCATTCACCCCTGGAACGGGAGCTCGCTCCAGCAGGGCAAGGACCACGCCTGTTTTGTTCACTGATGTCTCCTGCGAGCCTGGAAGGATGTTTGGAATGTAGTACGTGCTCAACTAACATTTACTGGCCAATTGCTGTGAGCCCAGGGTCGCTGTAGGCCTGGGGCTTCCCACAGTGCCTGTGACTAAGTCCCATGACAGGCTCCATGGGGCTTATGTTCTAGTGTGGCACTGGACAATGAACAAACCGACCCATGAATGAGACGGTTTCAGAGAGGGGTGGCCCCAGTGTGGCTTGTCTCAGCAAACTGCATGTTTCTGTGCCTCCTCCTGGCCTCTGAGAACTGAGGGGGCAGGGCTGGGGGCATGCCTGGCCCCTGAGGCTGGCGCCTGACATATGGGGAGTAGTTTTAAAAAAATAGTGTCTTTTGCTGGCTGCACTGAATGGACGCACACAGGCTGATAAAGACTCCAGCCCGCATCCACCTGTGCCCTCTGGAGTCTGTAGAACTCCGTTATTATCAGCCCAGGAGTAATTGCTGATAAGCCTGAGAGTGTGAATTTCATTGTAAAATTGAGAGGTAGCAGGGCAGTGTTTCATAACTCCAGGGATAATCTTAATTAATGACCTGATAAGTCTAATTAATTGCATCATATCCGCAGGCCCTCGTTGGAATTCTGGGAGGGAGTAGTAGCTGGCGTGCTCTTGGCAGCTCTGGAGGCTGGAAGGAAGGAGGTGCTAGGATCTGCCTTCCACCGCTTCCTTGCCAGGTGAGTCTGGGCAAGTGACGGCTGAGCCTCGGGCTCCTCATCGGGAGTTGTTGCCGGTTCAGGGAGACGTTCTCACGCAGCTTAGCAAACCCTTCGTGCCTGCAGCCGCTAGGGTCATGGGCACTGAGGCTGTTGTCAGAGGCCAGGGTGCAAGGCCATAGAGGGGCTGAGGGCTCTCAGCCAGCAGAGTAGGGCCCGGTGTCCCAGACCTGGGTTTCCCCCTGCGGCCAGCCCTGGCATCTCTCACCTCCTGGGAAACCCCTGGCAAACTCCTGAAAGTGAGGAGGGAGAAGCTGCAGGCCCTGTGCGTGTGCGGGACTTACTGGGAATGGGACGGGGTATGGGGGCTTCTGGTGGGAGAAGCAGGGAAGTGGGAGGGACCCTGGGAGTGGAGGAGTGAGTGGTGGTGGTGGGGTCCCTGTGTGGCCTGGGGCAGGCCTCAGTTTCCCCAGCTGCATGGGAGAGGCTGGGTCATGTTGATGGGCGCAGGGCCAGCGGGAGGGCAGACGCCGTCCTGCCATAGGGGGTGGGGGTCTCCCCTCTTCCCGGCCTGTCCTCCGGGGGCGCCCGCGCGGGCCGGGGCAGCGGCGGCGGCCGCCAGGGGTTAAGCGGTGACTTCAGCGGCGGCGGCCGGGCAGGCGCGGGGCGGTGCCGAGCGCGGTGGCCGGGCCAGGCCGCTCCGAGGCGGCGCTGCCGGCGGGGCCAGGCTCGGTGGCGGCGGCGGCGGCGGCGGCGGGCCGGGCGGGGCGCGGGGCTGGGCCCCGGCCATGGGCGCCCGCGGCGGCCGGGGGGCAGAGGCGCGGGGCCGGCCGCCGGCGCCTTTGTGAGCGGCGCGGACAACAAAGGCGCGGCCGCGGCCGGAGCGGTGAGTGCGGAGCGGTGAGTGCGGCCCGCGGGCCGGCCGGGCGGGGGCGCGGGGCTGGGCCGGCCCGGGAGGGGCTCCCCGAGGGGGTGTGTGGTCCCGGGTGACCCCAGGGCCGGGGCGCCTCGGTGCCAGGGTCTCGGAGAGAGAGTCCAGGGCCCCGTGGCGGGGCATCCCGGCCCCTGGCGCGGCTTTGCTTCTGCGGGATCTTTGTGTGTCTCTGCCTCTCCCGGGGCGAGCCTGGTGCCCCCACGGGGTCCTGGGGGGTCAGTGAGTGTGTGTGTCCCGGGGCCTCTGGGTGTGAGGTCCACGCCGGCATCTTCCCGGAGTCCCTGGCGTGTGTATGAGTGTGTGTGTGTGTGTGTGTGTGTGTGTGTATGTGTGTGTCCTGGAGCCGGCGATCTCTGTCTGTGTCCCTGGAGCCTGCGTGTGGACGGGTCTCTGGGTGAGTGTCCCAGAGCCGGGGTCTGCTCTGTGTGGGGGTCACTACATGGGCCGGTTGAGTGTGAATGTGAATGTGTACCTTTCAAGTGTAAGTGTGCACCCCTCTCCCCACGGGAGTCTGTGTCCCATCCCTCTGCATGACTTCTAACCTGCTTTTGAGTGTGTGTGTGTGTGTGTGAGAGAGAGAGAGAGAGAGAGAGAGAAAGAGAGAGAGAGAGACTCTGTGCCTCACTTTCTGTCCACGGACGGACACTTCAGGTTCTGCTGTCATGGGGCTTCACCTCCCCCCGCTGCTGACCTTGGGGGTCCCCGGGGTTGCATGAAGCCAGAGGCTGCTCCTAGCGCCTCTGGGCCCGGCTTGCCCCCCTCAGCCTTGACGCTGGCCCAGGGATGGAGCAGGGCGGCTGCATGGAGGGCGGGGGTGGGGGGGGGTGGAGGAGAGGTGCCCTGGTCAGCGGGAAGGCCATGGCCGCAGAACCGGGGAGGCCTGGACGTCCTGGGGCAGGGAAGGGTGTCGGGGTGGGAGGCCTGGACGTCCTGGGGCAGGGAAGGGTGTCGGGGTGGGCCTGCTGAGGGTGAAGGTGAGCGCCCTGGCCGCCAGGGGTGGTCTCTGAGAGGGGAGCTCAGGCCTGGAGTAGGAGAATGTGGGAGACTTCCTCCTCCCTGTCCCAGGGTGGTGGGGGGCCCAGGCAGAGGTCAGGAATCTCTTTTAGCCTGGAGGACCGTGGCTCAGGCCGCAGCAGGGAGGTGGTGGTGAGACCTTGCCTCAAAGTCCTTGGCCGTCCTGAGGGGCTCACCCGGGGAAAGCCCCGCCCTGCTCGCCCCAAGCACCATCTGCTCCTCCTCGGATGCCGAGGAGAGGGCACAGGCTGTGCACATTCATTAGTGCTCAGCCCTTCCCTGCAGCCCTGCCTGCATGGCCATCAGCTGCAGCATCCATCTGTCTACCCGCCCAGCGCGGTGCCCCACGGTGTCCAGTCCTTCAACACACAGACTAGGACGGAGGGCCCAGTTTGGAGATAAATCTCCAGGCTCCCGGAGACTGTGGGTGGGGGCTGCCCTGCCCCCCCCCCCCCCCCCCCAGGCTCCAGGGTGACTCTCTGTGCAGGGGGAGGCCTGAGGTTGTGCCGGGTCTGACTCTCACGCTGCTCCCTCATGCTTGCCTGCCGGAGGTCCCTGCCCCTCCTCTTCCACCAAAGACCCTTCGCCCCTGCTGTTGCCTCCGTGAAAGCTGGTCCCATCCTTCGCCTCTTCACTTCTCACCCAGGATCTCTTCCTCTCGGCCAGCCAGGTGGGCTCACAGGTCCTTGTTCACGAAGCTGCTCCAGCCTCATTGTGGGGAGGGTGGCTTTGTACCCTCAGAGGACTGCAAGCCTTTGAGAGCAGGGACCATGTCTGTCCTGGAACAGGGCCGGCACATAGTAGGTGCTCGATAAATAGTTGCTGATTAAGTGAATGTCCAGTAATTAACGGTTCCTACCTTCTGCTCTTTCAAGTTTTATCTTGGGAGGAGTTTGGGGAGGGGGTATAGCTGGTGGGCTCCTCGGTACCAGTATCAGATTAGTGTAGGAGGAAAGCCTACTGTTAACTAGGTAAATAGTAAATGAATGAACAGGTGTTGGTAGTAGCTGGTAAAGTGCCAGATGCTGGGCTAGCTGCTTCACATGGGTGATCTCTTTTTTATTTTATTTTATTTTGTTTATTTTATTTTATTTTATTGATTTTTTACAGAGAGGAAGAAAGAGAAATAGAGAGCTTGAAACATCGATGAGAGAGAAACATCGACCAGCTACCTCCTGCACACCCCCCACTGGGGATGTGCCCGCAACCAAGGTACATGCCCTTGACTGGAATTGAACCTGGGACCCTTCAGTTCCCAGGCCGACACTATCCACTGAGCCAAACCTTATAGGGTCACATGTGTGAGCAAGGAGCAGAGTGGAAAGCATATAATCTTAACCAGATAAGTTTAGAAAAGATAAGGTGGGTGATGTGTAGATATGATAATAGTAACTTAGATTCATATCGCCCTTTTAGGTCCAGATCTCTGTTTCCGAAACAGCCCTGATAATTGGGCCGAGAAGATTGGTTCATACCCATTTTACAGATGAGAAACATGAACCACAGCCTAAGGTCATAGTTAGTCAGTGGAGGACTCCAGCCTGGGTCTCCCTGACCGCCAGTCCTTGCTGTTTTGTGAAGGCTTGTCTTCTCTGCATTTGTGTTCTCATCGCCTGGCTGGACAGAGGTGAATGGGCACTGTCCTTGCCCTCAAGGAGTCTGAAGTCCAGGAAAGAGAACCGGATTCGTAAGCAGCAGAGGGGGCCCGAGTTCTCTGTCCACCCCACTGTGGCACCTGGGCCCCCGCTCAGCCCGTCCTGGCCATGTGTCCCTGGAGAGTTCCTTGGTCTCTGTCTCGCTGGAGGCCATCAGAGCCACCATCCTTTGGGGCCGAGAGAGCTCCCAGGAGTGGCTGTCCTTACAAGGCTGTACTGGGCCCTGGGCAGTGGTATGCTGGGGCCAGTTTGCACCAAAGCATGAGAGCTGATCACTATATTTGAGGAATTTTGTGAGCTGGCTGTTAGACACAGTCTTTATAAAAAAAAATTGTACGCCTATAAATTTACAGTTAAAAAGGTTATACTAGCCATGCTGGTTTGGCTCAGTGGATAGAGCATCAGCTTGGGACTGAAGGGTTCTGGGTTCCCTACCAGTCAAGGGCACATGCCCAGGTTGCAGGCTGGATCCTCAGTAGGAGTGTGTGCAGAAGGCAGCCCATCAATGATTCTCTCTCATCATTGATGTTCCTATCTCTCTCTTTCCCTCTCCTTTAATCTCCGAAATCAATAAAAATGTATTTTTAAAGTTATAATAGAAGCAAGGATAACTCAAAACATAGTACTTCTAATTACTTCACTACTACCTATGTGTTTGTGGTTATTTTGTGTCTTTTATGTGTTTGTATTTATATTATACAATGAGTGGCCAGATTATTATGATCTTTAAACACATAATAATCTGGCCACTCAGTGTAAATCCTGTATAATAAAAGGCTAATATGCAAATTGTCCCCTTGACCAGGAGTTCAACCAGCAGGCAAGCTGGCCAACCGCCCATGTCCCCTCCCCCTAGCCAGGCTGGCCGGACACGACCCATGCATGAATTCATGCATCGCCTTCCCTGTCTATCTATCTATCTATCTATCTATCTACTGAGTGGCCAGATTATTATGCATTTCGAGATTATAATAATCTGGCCACAGTGTATATACATAATGTTTTGGAATATATGACAGTGGTCCCATGGATATAATAGAAATGAAGGCTTTATGGTTTAGGTTTTTTTTTTTTTAATCTAACGGGAACAGTGTCTGGAGCTTGGCAGTAGACTCCCTCTCACTCACAGCACCTCCATTCTGAGCGCACAGATTGCACCCCAGTCCCTCAGCCCCGACCTGTCTCCTCCCAGAAGAGCCCGTCCCCCAGCGCTGCATGGTCAGAGGACCCGGCTGTAGTCGCTGGTGAGGACCTGAGGTCCTGTCCACGGACGCAGGCCCACGGGAGCCACTGAACACGTGTGAAGTCCACTGCCACTCCCGTAAAGGTTTTCCCTTCCCCTGTGGGCCAGCCTGTCCCACGTTGGGAACATTGTCAGGTTGTGATGGTGAAAAGCATAGATCGTTTTATTTCTTCCACCAGCTCCATGCCAGAGAGAGCCTTTTATGCCAGATAGGGCCAGTGGAACCCAAACAAATTTCCAAAATCAAAACAGTGAGTTCTGGGTCCTACACTCTCTTTGTGTTAACACCCTCTTTATTTTGAACCACCACAAAGTTCCTGGATCTGACCACTGCTCCAGCAGGCAGGAGCCACCCACATGGCCCTGGCAGTGCTATGTACCTTCCCCTTCCGTCCTGGCTTCTCATTCCTGCTGACCCTCAGGCCGCCGTTCACGCCCTCCTCACGGTCACTGTTATGGTGCTCGGCGTCCCACCAGCCAGTTTCCCCTCCATATTTCCACCCCGTTCCCGGGGCAGCGCTGACAGCTCCGTGTTCTCTCTCTGACCCTGTGGGAAGGAAGCCGGGGAAGGCTTGGGGACAGTGGGATAAAGTCTGCAGCGTTTTCCAGTAAGGCCTTAGGCCTTCCCACTCACTCACTGACTCCCCGAGCATCTTCCAGTCCCACAGGCCCCAATCACTGTCAGTGCCTGCCCAGGTGCACCGTTTTACGCTGTACACTGTGTTTTACTGTACCTTTCCGTGTTAGTTATGCTGAGACACACAGATGCCATTGTTCGTGGCCTAAAGTATTCAGTACAGGAGCCTGCTGTGCAGGCTTAAAGCCCGGGAACAATAGGCTACCCCATATGGCCTGGGTGTGGAGTTGGTTATACCATCTCGGTTTCTGTAAGTGCACTCTGATGTTCACACAAGGATGAACTAGCCTACCGATGCATTTCTCAGAATGGAGCCCCGTCGTTACGTGACACGTGACTGTACAATATACAATGAGTGGCCAGATTATTATGATCTCTGACCACATAATAATCTGGCCACTCA